TGGATATAAGAAAATTATGTGATTTCTTTTTAGATTATTACCACTCTGTTTACCCAAAGGTCATGTTTTCCCTTTTTTTTTCTGCTTTTCCTGAGGTTTATTGGCTAATATGTGACTCTTTGGGACAAGTATATAGGTATGAATTTCTGTGTAGTCCTATTTCCAGCTATATTTTATGCTCCTAATATATATTTCCTTTTTTCTTGCTTACTTATTTGCAATTTGTGTTATCATGTTATATGATGTGAGCTTCTGTATATTCTTTATATATCCTTTATGGAATAAAGTGGAATAGCAATAGCACAATAGATAAATAAGCTTTTTTTTTTTTTAATTTTATTTTTATATTCCCCCATACAATTGCAAACGCCCCATTCTGACCCCAATCCTTCCCCTCCCACCCCCCACCCCCCAAAAAGTGTCTCTGGTTCATAGTTTTTTGTTGATTTTGATTTTCACTTTCTTATATTCATTTTCCTGGTCCCTTATTTAAGTTTTCTAGATTCCTGCTATGAGTGAGACCATCCGGTATTTTTCTTTTTCTTTTTGGCTTATTTCACTGAGCATGATCCCTTCCAGCGCCATCCATGTTGCTGCAAACTGCATGTGTTTATCTTTTTTGAATGCTGAGTAATATTCCATGGTATATATGTACCACATCTTCTTGATCCAGTCATCTATTTTTGGGCATGTGGGTTGTTTCCAAAGCTTAGCTATTGTAAATAGTGCTGCTATAAACATAGGGGTGCAGGTGCTCTTTGGAATTGATGTTTCTGTGTCCTTTGGGTAAATACCTAGGAGTGGAATTGCTGGATCATATGGAAGCTCTATGTTTAGTAGGTCCAGAAATCTCCACACAGCTCTCCATAGTGGTTGGACCAGTTTGCACTCCCACCAACAGTGCAGAAGAGTTCCTTTTTCTCCACACCCTCGCCAACATTTGTTGTTGCTAGTTTTTTTAATATGTGCCATTCTCACTGGTGTGAGATGGTATCTCATGGTAGTTTTGATTTGCATTTCCCTGATTACAAGTGATGTTGAACATTTTTTCATATGTCTGTTGGCCATTTGCATTTCCTCTTCAGAGAAGTTTCTTTTTAGCTCTTCTGCCCATTTTTTGACTGGATTATTTTCTTTGTTGTTGCTGAGTCTCTAGATAAATAAGCTTTTAATTCATCAATAATATTTACATAAGTAAAATTTTACCAAGGAAAAGCAAAGGAAATTTATATGCTAATAATAAATGTTCTTTGTAATAAAATCACCTCAAATCTTTTTTTTTTTGAAAGAAGCAGAGTTATAAAAGAATATATAAATTGGGGAAAAAACCAAGATGTGTCATAATACATTTTTTAAAAACCCAACAGTAACTAGGCAAATCAATGCTTAAATTAGCACAAACTGGTGAAAATAAGCATCCCTAAATTGATTTTTCCATATATCTGCCTGGAGGCAGACAAAGTGTAGGAGGAGTTGGATTGTTGCCAGACCCAAATCATTTTTTTAAGTTCCATCAACTCCCATTAATGGCAGTGACGCCATTTTGGCATTGAGCCAGCAACCCAGTATAGTCAGATTTGTTGGCCAGGCTGGCTGGAGGCAGACTGGCAGCAGAGATGCAGCACCACCTCCACCACACTGATTAAAGCTAAATACCCCAAAAAGAAGTGATTTCCTGTGTCACCAACTGGGAGCAAAATAGCCTGTGCCCTGGGGACTCATGGCGAGGGGGACTAAGCTGACTGGACTCCAATCAACCAGAGGCACCCATGGGTGCCTCCAAGCCCCAAAGGCCCCACACTGGGAAGAGTCACAGTAGGAATTAACTCAACCAGCTTGGAAGCCTTGTATTCCATTTCATGTAGTGAATGCGGTGGGCTCACATTTTTTTTTTTTTAGATTGATTGATTGATTATTTATACAAGCACTGTGTACAGTCAGAAGTGCGGGAGGGCGAGAGAATTCACCAGAGCCAGAGCAGGGAGCAGAACAGGCAGAAGGACCGAAGTACACTGCTGAGGGGAGCAGCGGGCGGCAGGAGAGGTCTGCGCGCCATGTGGGACCCTCCTCCCGTGGCCGGGGAGCAGCCGGGGATCGAACTGGCGCTGCAGAGGCTGCGGGCAGCTTTGCAACCCAGCGCTCAACCGCTGCGCCACCGGGGAGGCCCTCACACTGTCTTTTTAAAGATATATTACCTTCCAGTGGTCGTCTCCTTCACCATCACCCTAGCGTTATTCCCACAGCGCCAGTTTACAAGGAAATGAGTGAGTGCACAAGTGCTCCTGAGGGTGGCCCTGGTCCTCACTATCTGTGGACATGTGTGCTCTAATACCCACTTCCCAAGAGGAAGTTGAAGGGGACGGGGAAGGAGAGGTGAATTAGGGATGGAATAAACACTTGATGTGGTATGGGCCTGTTAGAACAGAAAAACTTAGACATAAATGAAGCGTTACAACCCTCAGTGCACAAATATTTAAATGCAGAGTAAAATACCTGCAACAGCCTTATGGAAGAAAAAAAGGGAATTAGGAGAAAACTGAGGAAATCTGAAAAAGTACAAGCTTTCATTAATAATAATGTATTGGTTCATTAATTGTCACAAATGTAACTTACGAATGGAAAATATTATTAACAGGGGATGTAGAGTGTGGGGCATATAGGAACTCTATACTAGCTTCCCAATAATTCTTTAAATTTAAAACTGCTCCAAAATAAAAAAATTATTTATATTTTATATACTATTGTATGCATATAATTTATGATATTTCTTTCATACTATATATTATATACATGTGTGTACATATGTATGCAATGTAAATATGTATACATATACATCTCCAGCAGATTTGCTTAGGAATAATCTGAAAGATAATGGGAGATACAGGTGGGGAAACAAGATTGACTATACTTAATGATTGTTGGACTTGCGTGATGGATGCAAGTTGTTATTCTTTCTACTTTCTTATGTTGGAAATTCTCCATAAAAATGTTTAAAAATATGTACTCCCCCATTAAATTGAGAATTAGCAAGAAGATTATAATATATATATTTAAATCTTTTTTACAAGAGACTTTTCTTTATCATCAGTAAAAAAGAACTCTAGCTCAGCACATACTTTGCAACTAAAGACCAGCATATTTTCTTGCTGCTAAAGAGTGTAGCATATTTTATTGTCACTCTAGGTGTTTCCCATTTTTTAGGGAAAGTTGATGGTATTGACTTGTGTCAAAGCATGTGCCTCAGTGACTCCTTTCAGTGGGATGCACTGTCTAAGGAGGAGCCAGCACTCCTATGATCAGTGACAGACAACTGCTTCTCCAGTTGGGTCTGGGCCAATGAAGCCACAGCTTGCAAGAACATTATTCTCTTTGTAATGTTAAAGTGTTGTAGAAATAAATTCTAGCCTTTTACCCAGGCAGAGGAAGAACAAGTGGTACTTCAGGAATGGTGAGGTCAGGAGAAGCTTTATTACTCATTCATGAGGTCCCAGACCTGGGGAGCCCTGTAAGGTCTGTGCACCGGTTTAAAGACCAAGGTTCCTTTTATATACAACTGTGTCCATATCTGTTACATTAATAGCATCATTTTTCAGCAGACACAACCATTTGTGGCAAAGTCCCCAGACAAGGTGGGCAAGGCAAAGGGGGAAAGATGCAGGCATTCGGTCATGGCCTTGGAGAGAGAGACCAGCTTGGCCGGCTGCCTGACCTTGTAGATAAGAGTGCTGAGGCCCTGGCCATGAATCTTGAAAGGGAAGGAACTGTAAGGAAGCAAACTTCTTGATTATGCCTGCATTGGAGTGTTCATTGCACCTGGGCTGGAAATTCTGCTGGAATCTTTATTATATTCATTTGCTTAATAATGTATTTTTGCTTCAAAAGCAGACACTCTGAGTTCTGGGTTTGATCTGGGTGAAAGCTCCCTAGTCATCTGTGACATAAAGCTGAGACTGAAAAGCTAACTCTGTACATTGCCTGCTATGCCCTCGCTGTTGCTTGGACAGTGGCATAAACAGATGGTGGTCATTAGTAAGACAGCACCTAGCATGGAGAGTCCGCCATGCCTCCATGGAGATCCTATTCCTCCTGAATCTCTGGTAAGTGAATAGTACCAGGAACCATCCAGGCTTCCAAACAAGCCTGGGAATCAGTCACCCCTGACACTTCCATTTCCTTATCTTCTAGAATCCAAGCAGTGTCCAAGATCTGCAGATTCTATCACCTTCACATATCCCAAACTTACTCTTACTTCTCTGTCTCCATTGCCCTTTGAAAGTTTAAACTCTCATTCTCCATCACCTGAGTTATTTTAATGGTCTCCTACTTAGCCTATCCCTGTTTTTAAGCCCTGCAGTCTATTTCAATGATGAAATAAAGAAGATGTGATTTTCTGATTACACCCCCACCCCCATATTGCCCTACAACCTTAAAATGAAGGCTCTGCTCCTTAGTTTGGAACGCAGGGTCCTCTACACTCAGGCCTGAGTCCTCTCACTCCTTTCATTCCTTCACCAAATTCAACTTCTTAGAGTTCCCAGAATGCTCTAGGTCATATCCTATCTCTTTACCTTTGCTCTGGGGGACCCTCCCAGCATGCTCTGTCCTCTCAGCGAACACATCCATATCTTTCAAAACTGGGTTCAAGCATCACACCTTAAAGAAAACCATCCTGTGGTTTCACTTATAGCAGGAATATAGGGAAACCCAGTAAGACATCAGTGTAAAAAAATAATAACAGTACAAAACACAATGAAGCAAAAATGGACAATTATAAATCAGAGACATCCTGCAGGGGAGAAGGAGGGAGAGGTATCAGAGGGAGGAGCACAGGGGACTGAGGTGATGGTGCATGGGTGCACTGGTGAAGGAAACTATGGGGACTACACCTGAGGGGGAGGGGGGAAGCAGAAGCAAATATTGTTTAAAAATGAACAATGATGTAAAAAATAAAAAAATTAATAATTAAAAAATAAAAAAAAATAAAACTACACACACTTATATTTAAAAAAAAAAAAAGAATGAAAGAAAACCATCCTGATCAGGAACTTCTAAAGAGGTGAGTCTAGGGAAAGCGGGTCACACTCTGTTGCCAAACCCCAGACTCTGGCATGAGAACTACATGAGCTGAGGATGAGGATCTAATTTACAAAACGGAGCTATAAGCGCAGCAGCTGTTCTTCTGCCCAGGTGGAAGCTACCATTCTCTCTGTGCATCCCCTGCTATACCCCATACATACTAGGAGCTTCTTATTAAACTTGAAATTTGATGGAGGAAGATCAGGAAGAGATTTAAAAGGATAGCCCACTGAGGACAGTGCAATTTGTTCCCTACCTAGTAACTGTTGCACCCAGCACAAAATCTGGCACATAGTAGGTACTTAGTAAATGATTATTAAATAAATGAAGTATAAAAGATGCCCTAGTTTGGAGTATTATATTGTTATTATATTACAACGCTATTTATTGACGGCTCAGTTTGCAAACAAGCCATGTGTTAGAACATCACATTTTCTTACCTAACAAAGCGTGATCTGGTTTGAATAGCTATGTTAGTAAGTCTCCAAGTCATGACTAAAGATCTCAAGACCCTGGTCAGAGACATCCTCAGGAAAAGGCAGAGGCCACTTCAAACCACCAGTCCCCTGCTCACTTACAGAAAGGCAGCACAATTGAGAGGGCTCACAACAGGAGGCCTGTTGAAAACAAGTCGTGGTTTCACTCTGTGTTTAGATTTCTCTTTGGGGAGGGCACTTCCTCTTGTATTTCTTAGAGCCAAGTAATACATTCTGGGTGGAGAGGACTGTGGTTGCAATCCTAGTGCTGGACACAAGAAAAGGTGGCAGCATCTTAGACCTGACTGAACATGTATCGTGGAACAAGAATTGTGTGGCAGGCAACCCAGGATTGGGGATTGCTTTTGCTGCATGGCTTTCTGCTGGGACTGCATTGTGAGTGAGGCCTTGTTGATTTGTGTATAGTCTGTTATGTTTGGCAATAGCATCTAGATAACACTGGATGAATACTTGCTAATTTGTGAATTCTTTAGAAGAGAAGAGAGTATAAAAAAAGAGTCCAAGGCTCTCCTTGCATTCCCCTCATGTCAGTTAACTTAGGGTGGTGGGAGGCAGTGAGCTGCAGACCCAGGCACTGTGTCTGGAAGCAGACAGACCACGAGAGTGAGGCAAGCCGAGTCCTTGTCTGTTTCACTTCCATGATTCTAGTCACCAACAGGGCTATTTTGGTCTATTTTAAGGAGGAAGAAAATCAGACCCTAGAAGATTGTTTCAGGAAAGCAGTAGAGGGGGGAAAAGACTAAAGCCATATCTCTTAGAGAAAGAAATAAAAATCTTGGTTTGTTAGAAACATTGTTCCCATCTCCAAATTCATAAAAATCAGGAGAAAAAAAATCCTTTTTGCACGCACAGGTCATTTATTCGCTCCCATTTCTTGATTTGGTATTTTCTTTCTTCAAGCACCAAATCCAGCAAACGCTCTTTAAATGGAAAGAAAAAAAGCATTAATGAATGCCAGAAAACAGTTTCCCAGCCAGCCGGCCAAACCACAAATATCCAAAATGTGATTTCATCTTTAATAATATAATGAACTAAAGACGAGCCAATAGAAATAAAAAGGGGGGGGGGTGTATTCTAACCATCTGTCAAAAGGATTTCCAATTTCAGATTGTCTGGAAAAGACAGATGAAGAGAAATAACTAATCAATGGTGAAATACAAAAACCAGAGTTGACAAAGCTATTAGAGATCAATGAACTCTAAGTCCTCATATGGGCTTAGTTCATCACCTAATCTTAGTCCCTCAAAATTCACGATTCATGGAGATTCCCCAGTCTACTAAAAATGTAGCTACCATACGACCCAGCAATTCCACTACGAGGGATCTATGTAAACGACACAAAAACATTGATTCGAAAGAACACCTGTACACCTACGTTTATTGCACCACTATTTACAATAGGTAAAACCTGGAAACAACCCAAAAATAGATGACTAGATCAAGAAGGTGTGGTATATATACACAATGGAATATTATTCAGCAATCAAAAAAGATAAACACATGCCATTCATAGCAACATGGATGGAGCTAGAAGGAATGATGCTCAGTGAAATAAGCCAGAAGGAAAAAGAAAAATATCGGATGGTTTCACTTACAGCAGGAATATAGGGAAACCCAATAAGACATCAGTGTAAAAAAAATAATAACAGTACAAAACACAACAAAGCAAAAACAGACAATTATAAATCAGAGACATCCTGCAGGGGAGGAGGAGGGAGAGGGGTCAGAGGGAGGGAGGGAGGAGAACAGGAGACCGGGGTGATGGTGCACGGGTGCCTTGGGGAAGGAATTCTATGGGAACCCGAAATGAGGGGGTGGGGGGGGAAGCAAATATTGTTTAAAAAATAATAAAAATTTAAATAAATAAATAAAATGTGATGACCAAAATAAATAAAATTAAATATAATAGCTATAAAAAATTCATGATTCAGTGTCTGCCTTTTCCCTATCTGGAAATGGAGCCAAGGATCCCATATTATGAACTGAGAGACAAAAGGTGGCGGAGGGTGCAGACAACAGCACTATAAACTGTTTTCTTTTTTTCCCCACCATAATAAATTCACTTTATTTTTCCATATTCTTTTTAATTGCTTGTTTATATTGTTTGTCTTTTGGGGATATAGGATTTCCCCCTTCAGGTGTTACTACCATAGCGCACCCACCACCGAAGCACCCAAGTTCCCCATGATAGTCCACTGTGCTCCCTCTCTACGCTGTTCTCGACACCTCCTGCTCTCTGTCCCCTTGGATTCCTTAGTTCTATAGTCAGCTTTCAAGGTTTAGTTATTAAGTTTGGCCTTATCTGACCCTTTGTTTGGTTTCTCTATATTCCAGCTGCAAGTGACTATGCCTGTGTTTTCTAGGCCTCTTCCTCTGGGGAGATGGGTGGGCTGACTTAGTCCCCGAAGGGTGGCCTCTGCATTCCTGAAGGCAGGGGAAGAGGCGCGGAAATCTGTAACTACTCACGTAGCATCTCTTCCAAGAAGGTGTCTCTAACCTGCCCCATAGCTCAGGAGAGAAGGGTGAGACTCCTCATCTGTCTTCCCCAAATATCTGGGCATATCACTCTTGCATTTAAACAGGTTATTGTAATTCTAAGAAAGCCTACATGTTTTCCTTACTGGACTATGAACTTGAAAGCTAAGGTATGTTTACATTTCTGGTGACAAGTATACTGGCTGGACCATGAATTAATTTATACAAAAATTTCTTTCTTTATATTCAAAAAATGCAGGTAACTTTATTTGTTCTACCCATATCATGTTTTAGTACTAGCAAATAAGATGTATTATTTTTCAGTATATAACAACTACAATTTATATAAACAGAAACTGGGGGAGACAGACTACATTTAGACCAGTGCTTCTCAAGCTTTCGTGTGCATGCAAAGCATGCAACGGCCTTTATTAAAATGTAGGTTCAGATTCATTTAGCCTGGGGAGAGCTCTGAGATTCTGCCTTTCTAACAAGCTGCCAGGTGATGCCAACACTCTTTGATTCACAAGGTAACTTGAGCTAGATGTAGTTTATTGTTCTTCCTGAAAATAAAATCCAGAAATGAGTATTTTAGGGCTGCTTTAGGGTTCTACCATATCATTAGGAGCCTAGGGTTCCTCTAGCTTTCTGCTTTACAACCTCAAGGTCTCCTTTTATCCAGAGATGGCAGCTGCAGGTCTGGCCATCCCATCAATATTGTAGTTAGGAGAGAGGCAGAAACACCAATGGCAAACAGGCACATGGCTGGGTCAGTGATTCCTACAGAAACTTCCAGGAAAAGCCCCACTCAGTAACCTTCACTATCCGGGGAAAACTCACATCTCCTCCCTGTGTTTCTCTTTTATGGTCCTACTACTCACACACTCACATATGTGAGGTTTTCCCCCACATACCAAGAAATTCTGCCACACTAGCTGGATGTCTTACAATTTAACTCCATTATGACTCTATATACCTGGAGATGGCATCATATCCCACAGGTAAGGTTATCACTACATGACTACTTCCACTTCTGATGCCAATCACAAGTCCGGACTGTCACCTGTGCTTCTGACTAACTAGCAATAAATAGGAGGTTACCTAACCTGATCCTTTGGCTCAATTAATTTGCTAGAATTTCAAAATTCAGGAACACAGTTTACTTACTCAACTATTGGTTTATTACAAAGGATATTACTCAAAAACAGCCATACGGAAGAGATACATAGGGCGAAATATGGCGGAGGGGGTGGAACTTCCATGTCCTTTCTAAAGGTGTCAACTCTCCCAGCACCCCCACATGTTCACCATCCCAGAAGCCCTCCAAACCTTATCTTCCCAGGTTTTCCTGGAGGCTTCATTACATAGGCATGATTGGCCATCAGTGACTGAATCAACCTCCAACCCTCTACCCTCCCCAGAGGCCAGTGGCTTGGGGGACGGGACTGAGTATTTCAACCCCCCAATCACTTGGTTGGGTGCCCTGACAACTAGTAAGGTGCTTCCGAAAGTCACCTCTTGAACATCAACAATGAGTGGTTGAAAGGAGTTTGTTGTGAATAAGACACCTTTATCACTACTATCGCTATGGAAATTTCAAGGGTTTTAAGAATTCTGTAACAGAAACAGGACTAAGACCAAATACATATTTCATATTATAAATTATAATATCACTTTCATTTCATCTCATTGGCCAAAACTTAGCCACATATCTAAAAGAAGTTTTAAAAATGTGGCTTTTCAGATGGGTACATTGCTGCTTACACGAAATTGAGGCTCTCAATAAGGAAGAAGGGGAGAATGGATGCTGGTAGACTCCCCCAGTGTCTACTATGAGTCAAGTAAGATTATCATGGATCTCCTATTAGTCACCCCTGGCCTCAACCGCTGGCACCTTGTTCAGGTGCACATGAAAAGTCAGCTGTCTATGTGGCAAGTTCTGTCTGAGAAGCTCCCTGTCTCCCCTTCTTGAACAAAGCTATCATAACATGTGTCTAAAATTTGATGGGAGAACAAACTCACCATACCCCTGCCTACTTCTGATTTGGAATAACATTTATATCCAATGCTTAGTTTGGTTTAGGCTTTATTTGCACCTGTGAGTTCTCAGGGGGGTTCGGGAACACTTTTATTGTGACATCAGCTGAGATCCTGGCTCTAGGATGCTGGCAGACCCTCCAGATTACTGCCCCTGAGGTTAGGATTTTAAATAAGGGAGCGAGTCCAAAGGGGATGTACTGTTTTTCCTGCTCAATGCCAATTCATTCCTTGAGTAACAGTGGAGTCACCCAAGGTGAAGAAACAACCCCAGCCCATTGATTTACGCCTGAGCAATCACATTCTTTCCTTGGCTCTTTGCCCAGGATTTCCAGGGAGCAGGCAGGGGCCAAAAAGCAATATGCATTGCTGAAAGGGAGGCTTCTTGAGTGATTAAAATGATGGCACCTGCCAGTGGCTCACAGGCAACAAAGGAGACACAGGTGGGGTTCCTCAGAGGTGCCTGCCCTGTGCCTTGGGTCAGGACACGGAAGACACAAATCCCAACAGGCACAAGAAAGGCTGCGAGTTGTCTTCCTTCTCTTCTCCTATCTCAAGGAATTTACCTCCCCCCCAGATTTCTATTTGAAATAATAAAAAGTGTGTTCATCTATTACCTTTAGGAGTGTATTCCTCAAAAACCATTTATCTAAATTAACCGAAATAGCTTTTCTTTATAACTGTGACATGATCTATCTATATTGGTTGAACCATCACATTTTGGGGGCATGGGGTGAAAGGGAGAAAGTAATCCATGAATTTATATGTGTGCCAAGAATTGATGTAAACTGAGCAAGTGTGGTTCACATGTATTTATTGCTATTTTCAAGTCTACTGGATGCAGTTTTAATTAATAAAATGAGCATTTTTTTAGACTTTTTATATTTCAACATTTATCATTTTTTACATTTTTAGACAATATTTGCTTCCCCCACCCCCTCAGATGGAGCATTTATTTTTAATGTGACTGAATTTTTCATTGACAAAATATATTGTGATAAAAGCAACTACTGGATACTAAATACACAAAAAAGACTGCTATATGAGAAGATACAAAACTGATTGTTGAGAAGAAATCCTTATAATTGGGCATGTGGGAACTTCTGCTCTGTAGTATCAGGGCGTTAGCTGGTCTATGAAGCTGTGTTGGGGCTTTTTTCTGTTGAGTTTGCTATAGCGGTTAACCTCTCTGCCCCATTCATCTCAAAGAATGTGTAATAGATAGGTGGAACTGGTAAAGATATCCATAAAAGAGACAAGGTATCCATAAAAGAGACAAGGTATCCATAAATGAGGGGGAAAAAACAAACAACAAAGACAAAATCCTTGAAGTTCAGGAAGTTAAGGGAAGTTGATACCTGTTTTCTTTTGGTCCTGGGGCCTGATTTTCACAAAGGAGTTCCAGAAAATCATACTCACATTTATAAGCTAGCTATTGAGCATGCATCATTTACTAAAGCATTGTTCTAGATGCCTAGAATACAATAAATAAAAGAGATTAAAATGCCTACATTCCTAGGGGTTACAATCATTTTTATGAGTAGATGGGTAAGAAAAAGTTATCAACCAAACTCTCCCCATATTTTGTTTCCTGGATGAATCACTACCATAGCTTTGGTAGTAAGAATGATGACTCTAGGACTTGAGAATGCTAAGAATACTTGAGAGATTCTGCAAACCCACTGCTAAATTTTGACATGCCACATTGCTGGCTGTCACCTCATTGGTTCTCCCTCAGTGAAGAGTGAAACTAACTCTGAATATCTGGAATCATTGCAAACCTCATTTCCCCAACTAGGATGAATTTAAACATGGTTAAATAAATATTCATTTCTGAAAATATTTCAGAAAATATTCATTTCTGAAGGCAACACTGATTTTTAAAAATTTCACTTTATTTCTCAAAAGCTTCTTGCAGACATTTTATTTAAAAAAAATCCAGCAGCCATTCTTCAAGAAAGTTTCATGTCAAGTTGGCACATTAATAGGCACTGAATTCCAAAACTTGGAAAGGGAGATCCCCCTCACCTCACTTGCTACAAATGGACAATTGCATTAAGTGTAAGAGTCAGAAAGCCAGTTTTGCACAGAGATTGTAAAGTAGGAGAAAACAGACTCTGCCTCTCCAACCTACATTTGGTGAAACTGGGTGACGTCTTACAGAGACAGGAGAGCAGCATGAAAGCAGCAGACCCAGAGCACCCTGAGTCAGGCTTGTCTTCCAGACACTATAGAGAAGCAGAGGTTAAAAACATGGTTTTGACTATGGAGACCATCCCAGGGCCAGGCACCAAGCTCTGCTTTGTACCTATGTTACCCCACGTAATTCTGATTCTTAGGTCACAGTTGAAGCAGAGTGCTTTCAAAATACTTCCAACTTTACTTTCTTAAAAAGATTACCAGATAAACACATGCAGTTTGCAACAACATGGATGGAGCTAGAAGGGATCATGCTCAGCGAAATAAGTCAGAAAGAAAAAGAAAAATACCAGATGGTCTCACTCATAGCAGGAGTTTAGAAAACCTAAATAAGAGAACAGGAAAAAGACTAATCAATGCAAAGTAACAATCGAAATCAACAAGCAACTATAAACCAGAGACACACTGGGGGCGGGATTAGGGAGAGGCGGGGAGAGGAAGAACTAGAGTCAAAATAAGGCGGGGCGTGGTGCAATTGTATGGGGAATATAACCAAAATGAAAATGCATACATTGTACAAAGATGAAAAATGATATAAGAATTACATAAAATATTAAAAAAAATATTACCAGATGATATCAACTACCCTCTTCAGATCCTTGATTCACATCTACATAACTTCACATGTATCATTTTTTGCAAAAATCTGTAGTTTAGTATGTGCTGTTTGTGTTATATTTTCCCTCTGCCCTCTCTCCACTCCCCCTCCCTGAACCGAGCCTACATGTGCAAGTGTGCCTGCAGACAAAAGGAATGGGGAGAGGGCCACCATCGAAAGCTTTAGTAACTGAGAAGGCTAAGACCGGGCATCTCTTAAGCCAGAAAAGAGAAGTAAGTGGGAGGCCAAGAGGATTGAAACACCCAGCAAATCTCTGTCCCAGCCAGCATTTGCTCAGTAAATTGGGGATAAAAAGTAGTTGGGATTCACTGTCCCTCCCTCGCCCTACACCCATCGGAGGCATGAGATGATGGCAGCAGAGCATTAAACCAAGCGGAGACCCCTCTGTGCCCCTGGCCTGTATGACCTAGCCCCCTGAAGTCAGCCCTGTCTGCCAGATCAGTTCCCTGGGAAACAGACATGAAACCTTGCGATCTGCAGGCAAGAGGCTTGCTGGGAAGTGTCTTGGAAAAACAACTACAAGACAGTGAGGGAAGCAGAGCAGGGCAAGGGGAGAAGCTGAACTGAGATACGGTTACAACAGTGGGCTCATCCTGGAGCTGAGGCTGCAGATGGGAAGGCAGGGACTGCAGAACCCCACCACACTGGCCCAGGGAAGGGGCCTGACCTTGGGCAAAGGGTCTCTCTTCGGTAGAGGGTAACTGTCAGAGGGACTTGGCTGAGGGCGTTCACTGCCGACACCACCAAGGAGCTGGGGATGAGCCTACCTGATTCCGAAAGAGCCCAGAGCTGAGCACCGCTGCGTCCATAGCATCCGCCAGCCCCATCAACAGATGGCAGTTATTTTCCATTCCTGAAATAGATATTGCGGTCGATGACCTTCTGAGACCCGTGTGGCAAGGTCGCTTCAATAAAACAAAACAAAGCACCAGAGCAAGAAAAGAGAACACAGGAGGGAGAGCCAGGATGTGGTCCCCCTCCTTCACACCTGCCGCAGAAGATCCAGGGCAGGACTTCACAGCGAGGCTGGGGAGCCCGACCAGGTACTTTAGAAACTTGGCAGTTTTAGTGTTTTTTATTATCCATACTTATTTTCTTATATTTTCCTTCATTCACCAAGTTGTTGGCATTTTCCAAATTAACTCTACTAAAGAACAAGAGAGAAAGCAGGAGCCTATTTTCATCCTTGTTGGACTCGAGATGGAGGAGTCTGGTCTTCCAGGCCAGTTAGGTAGTCTAGGCATGGGGGCACCCCAAGGCCAGGTGAGCATTCAGAGGGCAGCTGCGGCTCTGGGTGCTTGGGCCCAAAGCCCTCCCCATTTAAGGAGGCTTCTGTGTCTTGTTTAAACTAAAGAGCCTCTGAAGGCCTATAGAGTGTATTTTAAATTCCAGTGCCAAAACAGACTATGGATCTGTAGGGGCTGGAATGGACCACAGTGCAGGTTCTCTGATCCCATGCAGACCGGGTAAAGGAGGAGTCAGAGTCCTCAGTGGGTTTTTTGCAGGTCTTTTATTGGGGCTCACCAGGCATATGGCAGGTAGGGGTGTTGGGGGGCCGGGAGGCTGGCAGACCTCCCAGCCCCCAGCAAATCCTCACTCTATCTGGGCTCTCTGGTGATCTCGGCTTCTCTTTCGGCTTCGGCTTCTACTGGCTGCTGCTGCTGGCGTCCCCGTGACGCCGCCCTTAAAAGCAGTCTTAACTCAGCTGAATCCCATCTACCTATGCCCACACCCTATTCCAGGTGCCCGCCATCAGGCATGCATTCAGGACAAGGATCCATCATCTATCCTGATGGCGGACGGGCAGAAAAGCCTGATATTTTCTTTACCCTACAGGATCCAAAGACCTTACACATCATGGGAGTTTTATTATTATTATTATTACCTTAATAATTAAGGCTAATCATTCTGATAAGCACAGCTTTGGTAGCATTCTCCATTAAATGGCCCAGATCAATGGAAGTTTATTTTGATAGTCTCAAAAACACAAATGTATATATGATGAATAAGAAAAAACTATTTTTGATACAAAATTTAGGAATTAACACCATACAATAATTTTCTGGCTGCTGTTTGTGAGAAGTTTAGTTTTGAAAGCAAACTTCAATTACTACATTTCGAATGCCCTGAAACAATTATTCTAAAAATGCTCATCTTATGAATATGAGCTTAATAATTTTAATATTTAAACATTTTAACATTTAAATGGAATCTATTTAAAATAAATATAAAATGGGTTAAAATGTATTATTAATCTTTCAGATTTGTAGTGTATTTTATTTTCATCTGAGGTTTGAGTCCCTCATTTTACAATGATGACAGGTTTTATGTGTGTAACTCTAAGTGAAATAGGTGCTCAGAATTGGTTTTATCCTTTGAAACTGTGGCCTAAATTGTTCACAGACTCTAGTCTACTCAAAAGCCCCCAAAGGAAAACAAACATCTTTGAGACAAAAAAATATCCTTTTTGACCCCAGTTGTAGGCGAGGCCATTCTCTCCGAAGTCCTACTTGTGGGAAACAGCCAGATTCTGGATTTCTTCTGTACACTCTTTACACCCAGTAGATCCTTTATCAAAGACAGCCCCTTGAAGAAGCTGAGTAAGTCAAATATGCTAGAGAAAAGCTATTCTGATTGGAGAGGGGTGGATATTTGCATGTGGAGGAAATGGGAGACCTTTATGTCCATTTTATCTCCTATACCCTGCCCCCAGCACCCCCTTTGGCCCCCTCATTTCCAAGGGTCTCCAATTTCTCTCAAGACATGAAATATTGAAAACCACTCTCCTAAATACTACCTGCTTCGCACAGGGCTATTGACTAGATCAAAATGAGAGGCTAGCCACAAAAACAAAGCAGAAAGTATTCCAAGTACTAACGGAGATTTCTCTTAATACTGTATACACTTTCAGACAAGTAAACCGGCAAGAAATGAGTATCCTCTCTGCACCTTTGCACAAAGTAGGGACTTAGTAAATATTTGCTGACTTTAAAAGATATGGTTTACTATTCCAGCACACGTAGAAAAATAAAAATGTATGATCAAGCCCTAGGGAAGCTCTTAGTAATTAAGCTGGAAGGTCTACCACAGAACCATCCACAATATATAAAATGCTAAATGACTGTCAACATTGTTACTACCAAGCAGGCATTGTTCTGAGTTTTTTTCAAGCTAATAATACCTATGTGGAGTATACTCACTTTTAGATGGGAAAGCTGGGACACAGAGATGTTAAGTAACCCCCCAAAGTCACATAGCTATGACACATCAGAGCTTGGATTCAAACAGGAAGGTCTCGTGCCAGAGCCAAGGTACTCAACCACTAAGCTTCAGAAGTATAAAAGCAAATGCTGGTCACTGATCCCGGGAGCCAATTTTCCTTGCCAGGCAAAACCAAGTAAACTCTTGGTTCCAACCGGATCCAACCATCCACCTCGATCCTTTTGAAAATGCAGAACAGAGACTCAAATGTATAAACTGTCTTGCCCAAGGTCAGGCAACTAGTTGAGACAGGTGTACAAAATTACAGTTACTATTTATCTAAATTAACATTGCACCTCACTGTCAAGATGCAAGTATGTTTTAGGGAGAGAATAAATATCCTGAATTCCATTTAAGTTTTCTGTGAAGTCACCTCTGCTGCTTGGTACATAAAACACAAACTTATCAGTCCTTTTCTACCCTTTCTACTTGCAGCTAGAGCAGGATTTTACTGGTTCAAGGCAAAGGACACAATTGGGGCATTTGTTATACCTTGCAAATTCCCAGATTCCACAGATTCAGGTTCATCAGGTTTGGGGATTTTTAGCTTTTTAACTAGTAAACCAAGTGATGGCAGTATCAGAAAGACACTCTCTTTAGTTTGGAAGGAATATTTCTTATCTGCCTAAGACTGGCTATATAGAACTTGTGTGCTTGCTTTTTATTTTTTTCTTAAAGATTTATTTTATTTATGTATACAAGAGCTGGGATGTAGGCAGAGGTGTGGGGGGTGATAAGATTCACCAGAGACAGAGCGGGGAACCGAACAGGCAGACTGACTAAAATACACTGCTGAGAGGAGCAGCGGGGGAGACAGGAGAGTTCTGCCACGCCATGTAGGTCAGCTCCCTGGTTGGGGATTGAACTTGTGCTGCAGTGGCTGCCCATAGCTTGATAGTGATGAGATGTAACCCCTTGCTCCACTAGGGAAGCCCCTTGTGTGTTTTCTTTTTAAAGACACTGTAAAATATTGCCTCACCCCTCCTGGCCTGAACAGGCCCCTCTGGTGGGCAAGCACATAGGTCCCTCTGAGTGCCTCAGCTCCCCTCTCCAAGGTTTGGCTGAGCTCCTGGGAAAGGCCACACCACTGAGAGGAAGCCCTACATCATCCTGAACCCAGTCCTCATTCAACCTGAATATATGCCAAGGAGGTGGTACGATTTGATTACGTCCAGGCCACCAAGAAGTACAGACAAGCTGGGACTCAGTTTGCAAGATGTGTTTTCCATCCCTGCTGGTGCCAACAGCTCACTGAAGTCATAGTGCTCTCACTTTCTTCAGAGGAAGCCAGTTATCTGCTAGACACCCTTTGTTCTACAGGGCTCTCCCTTGGCATCTTTGCCAAGGACATGTTTTGGCCAGATCCTCTACTCTGGCCTCTGCATCTCTCTGGAAGCTGAGCTAAGTTAAACACAGCCCAGGAGGTAGAGGGAGAGCCCTGTTTTTGTTTGGTTGAATGCAGGACCCTAGAAGGTGCTAAAAATGGAAGAAACAGGTCCAAAAATGAAGTCAATCACACTGGGCCCTAACTCAAACTTAATACTTAATCTCATTGCAGTTTCAACCTCTCCTAAAAGTAGAAGCCTAATCCAATCACTCTGGAGTTTCCTAATCAGCACCAAGAGGTAATCTGCTTGATAAGACACTCCTGCCTTTTCCTGAGGGAAGGCGGCACCTGAAATAGTCTTTTCTTTTGCTAACAACCTGTCCCATCCTCTTCATCTATAAATATTCTCCATTTTACTGCAATCTCTTGCAGTATCTAGATGGGATATTGCCAGATTCATGAATCATTAAATAAAGCAATTAGATCTCTAAATTTGTGAATTTTGTGTTTTAAATAATAGAAAAGGTTTCCAAGAACCAGGTGGTCATTGGGCCAGTGACCAGCCTCTTCTCATGCCTGCCAAGAGCCCCTCAACCTTTACAGAGATTGCACCACCAGATAGGTTGGCCTTCTTAGGATCCCTAATTAATACCTCTGTGCAGTAGGAATTTACAATGCAATCTGCACAGTCTTGCTTGGGTCTTGCAGGGGGACTAGAACTCACAGACGATGGCAGTCAATGACAATGAATGACTGGTGCATATGGCTATTCCCCAAACCACTTGTGCAGCATAATCATTCATGTGCAATTCTTCTGATGTGACATCTGCTTAGGAAAGACCTGCATATCATTTTAAGTGCAGTTCAAACCCCTCTCCTTTCAGTCCTCTCAGACTCTTTCTCTGACTTCAGCCAATGGTGTTTATCATGTGATGTTTTCCAAAAATTTTTTTTTTTGTGGCGACACCTTCTAGTCTCTTCTAGAAGGAGAGTCCTATTCACCTTTGCATTTTCCAGGACACTCAGAATCAAACCTAACATATAGTCCATGCTTATGAAAAGTTACATTAGTAACAGTCTTTTGTAGAAGTGAATAAAATCAGTCATGTGGACTGTAACTTTCAGTATTTATTTACTGGCAGAAAGAAGTGAAAAAGGAATTTGCCAAACTATTTTATTTGGAATCTTTCTAAGCACATACTAAGTTAAACAGCTAAAGAAACCATAGTCTGGTTTAAAAGTATGAACTTTGACTCTGTGATAGCTGATCATTCTTAAAGCCATTTGTTTCCCTACAAAAGTGCAGGACACTGAGCACAGTTCTGTAAAAAGTTCCCTTAGAGAGCTTTCTCAGCACTAAATAGAAGAGTTGCTTTTTAACGTTGCAGAAAAGGCCCGGCTGTTAGTTTTGGCCAGGATAAGCACTGAGCTGGCTCCAACTGGAGATGGCAGGACGAGATACAAATGGCTGTGTGATGTCATTGAATGGACTTATTTTCATCAGAATCTAAATTCAAATACCTCTGGGAGATGGGTTATTTTTTTCTTTGAATTATTAGGGCTTCCTAAAGTTTATTTTTGTCCCTGTAGATGATGGAATTTTCCAACATATTGTAAGAGAGAGGCTTTGAAACCTGGGTTCCTTCTGGGCGCCTGGAAAGGGCAACCAGTAGTGACTGTGCAGCAGAATATTTGCAGTTTAAGCCCTGCTTCCTGCACCGGAGGTTTTCTGGCATGTCTTTTGAAAAGCCATGTGGTCCTAGATTCAAGGACAGTGAACCAGAGGTTGTTCTTGGCTCTCAGCAGTTGATGGATCCAGACCAGAGGACTCAGTGCTTTGCTGACAAAAGACATGGTGGAGCAGCTTTCAAAATGAGAAGAATCTCCAAAGATGAGCAATAATGGTGCAGAGTCCTCCAAGATATCTCCTCCCCAACCCTCAGGTCTGTTCCATCTCTGTCCAAAACCCAAAGAAATTTTGTTTAAGCAGTGTGGGAATGTAAAGCAACCAACCCATTCCGGGCAGGTTTATGAACAGTTCTAGCAGCCACATGCTCTTCGCCGTTCTCCTCTGTACACTCCACTCCTCCACCCTTAACACTGCACTACCACCACACCGCACTCTGCTGCACCACCCTTATAAATCGGTCTCTTAGCTCAGGGGTACCCACCTACGCATGCCCACACCCTACTCCAGGTGCCCGCCATCAGGCATGCACTCAGGACCTC